CGCCTGCTTTAAATCTTTGCTTAGGGAACCAATATATTTTTGCCCTGGACACTATCCTAGAACAACTTCTACAATGATAAATCTTAGGAGACTTTATAATCTGGCAATTAGGGGGACTGCCTTGAAGCAGTGGGATGGGAGGGAGTTTGTTAAGTAAGACTGAGGGGCGGTGCAAGGATTTTTGGCTACACAGGCGATGACGCATTTTGGTAGCACCGGCCCTGGCTTAATAGGGGAGATCTATTGCGCATGCACAGCCGGCGGCGGGGGAGACCTAGAGATGCTCTCAATGCTTTCCTATGGGGATTTCAGCAACGCTGGAGATCCTCACATAGCGTGAGGACATCCAGTGACGCCATAGCACAGAAAATCTGTGCTATAAACCAGGAAATGCCGTCTAGTGGCTGTCTAATGGACCGCCACTAGAGGAGGAGTTAACCCTGCAATGTAAATATTGCAGGTTATGAAAACTGCAATATTTACAGTTGGGCAGAAGTGGTCTGGGTGCCTGAAGTGTCCCTTTAAAGTTATTCTACATTTAGTGAGTTTTTTCCACTTAGTTATAAACTACTGCCACCCTGGTATCTGCTCTGGAATTCCATTATTTATATCCCTCTATTCAATGATTAACTTTTTATTCATCTAAGCTTTCAAATCATCTTTTCACTTTTCTCCAGATTACGGGCATTAGAGGTTATTCCTCTAAATATTAAGTGGATGTTTCTTTTTACTACTATGCTCTCCTCTTGTGCTTGGTAATTATTAGCCTCTCACAAATCGTACTAATTCAGAGCAATGCGTGTGTTTTCTTTTACTATTACTTATCCTACACCAAAATGGATAATAACTAATAAACAATAGTAGCTGACTATATCTGGCACCTTAATTGTAGCATAGCATTGTTGAATACATATTTTATTTGGCTGCTAGTATTCCCGTTATTGTGAGTTTATTAATTACCACATTTACTTGGAACACACTGCAACCAGTTGCTATAGGTGCTGTAATACAACTCCCGTTTCCCTGATAATTCAACGGCTGATTTAATTGTTAGAAACTATCCTATTTCTAGGAAACATATTCTCTTTCTTAGGATATCGTTTGATATTTCAGGAATAATCACAGTATTTGACTTCAAAACTGAGATATACCTCTAACGAGGCTTTTCATTCACAAGAGGATTTTGCATAAAAGGCTATTTCATTTTCCGCAGCCTGATATTTCTACCACTGATTTTGTAAACACCGATAAGAGTTAGTTTAGTTATAATATGACTCTTTTCTGAAATTTTGTAATGAACTATACTTTAGGTTTCTAAATATCATAGTTATACAATTAGATTACATTCAGATTATAAGAGCTTTAAGAGGTTATCAGAGATAGTTTTTAACCTTTCTATATTACTCTTTTGGCCCATAGGTTCCCTCCTTTTTAACCACACTTTTAACTTTTTTTCTGATTTATTCAATTTAAGTGCTTTGTGTTTTTTTTTTTTGTGGTCATAAAACCAATTGTTTAAAGGATCACTATGGGGTCAGGAACACAAACATGTATTCCTGACCCCATAGTGTTAAAACCACTATCTAGCTCTCTGGGCCCCTCATGCCTCCATAAATATAGCAAACTCTTATGATATTCAAGCCTGAAGCTGTAGATCTGCATGCGGTTTGCCTCAGAAAAACAAGCTGTCTGCTGGCATCATCAGAAGTGGCGGCCTGATCCAATCACAATGCTTCGCCATAGGATTGGCTGAGACTGACAAGGAGGCAGGTCAGGGGCAGAGCCAGCATGATTCAAACACAGCCCTGGCCAATCAGCATCTCCTCATAGAGATGAATTGAAACAATGAATCTCTATGAGGAAAGTTCAATGTCTGCATGCAGAGGGAGGAGACACTGAATGTTGGGATGCATTTTAGGCAGCCATGACCCAGGAAGGATCTCTAACAGCTATCTGAGGAGTGACCAGTGAAGTTATCAGTAGGCTGTAATGTAAACATTGCATTTTCTCTGAAAAGACAGTGTTTACAGCAAAAAGCATGAAGGTAATGATTCTACTCACCAGAACAAATTCAATAAGCTGTAGTTGTTCTAGTGACTATACTGTCCCTTATTGTATTGTATTGTTAAATACACAAATACGTTTGTGCATCATGGTTAGACATTCCTGTCTTGCATCTGAAGCTATTTTTTGTTTTGTTTTATTTTTATCAAACTTGCATTAGAAGAGCTGCATACCTGTGACCAGTCCCCCACCCCCAACAACTATTAAAGATGCTCATTTGTACAGTAGTTTTGGTCTGAGTACACAAAGAAATCAACCAACACCCCAAATAAGTTGTATGGAACATTTTCTATGGATTGTTCTTCTGTGACTGTGGCGAAGAAGGCTCTTATATTCACATGTAAAAGACCTGCCCTCTGGTTGTTCAGGTTTGGAGCTGGGTCTTTTGGGAGATGGCAGTGGCCCTCAGATGATCTTGAACTCAATCCTTTGTCAGCCTTACATCAGCACCTTTAAAACTCCTAGAGATCTAGCCCCTCCTGCTAATAAACCGATTTTCTGGCTATACACAGCAAGTAGACTGCTACTCGGCCTGGGAAGCTTCCCTGCCTTCTCATTCGGAGATTGTGAGGAAGGTTCAATTTAAATTGATAATGGTTAAAAATCCCAGGTTCCTTGCACAGAGCCCCTTCCGAACTCCACCAGTATTGGAATGTCTGGCTTGAGGCATATCCAGGGGAGGGAGTCCTCACCCTCTCCTGTTCCCTTAGGACAGCTTTCTCTTCCTCTCATCTCCTGGTTACCCATTATGAAAAGGTTTGGAGTGAAGTTGACTTTTGTTCAACATGACTGGGACTCTCTTAGATTAACTGCGATGCACATGCACCTATCTGGTTGTATTTGCTTCATTGAGGGGCTCATTGTTAGGATCTTTGACATTAGTGGTCTGGCTTCTCTATAATATTCTCATAATAGGGGAGAGTATTTTAATGTGGTGAAATCAGTGTATGGTTTTGTAAAAAAAAATTTAGAACAGGCATATTAAGCTATATAAACTTTGTTCTATTTTATTTCACCCTTGAGATAATATTCAGTAGTGCAATAGTTCAGTTATTATATTTGTGTTCTAAAAAAAAAAAAAAAAATTAATTTGAAAAACGTAAGTTTTAACCTCTGAATGAGGAGTTAAAGATCCCCACTGCTTCCTTCCTCAATACCGGGCCTGTGGGATCGGGCAGTACTATTTTGCAATAGGCACAGAATGCAGTTAAGCCAACAGCAAGTTAAGACAGCACAGAAAAACTTGAAGTATAGAAATCCTTTCATTATAAAGTGTATTTTTGACAATACCCATACTTTTAATGATGTTCTGTGCATAAATGTTAAATATAAAATACTGCTAATATATACACCCTCCGTGACTCCTCTCCTGCAACTGTCAAAAATTACCTACTATACCCCACTCCCTCTAGAATGTAAGCTCATTGAGCAGGGCCCTCCACTTCTCTGTTCCTGTACGTCCAGTTGACTGGTTACAATTACATGTCTGTTAGTCCACGCACTGTACAGCGCTATGGAATCTGATGGCGCTATGTAAATAATAAAAATATGTAGCCATGCATAATACTCTCCCACAAATTAAAAGTATTGATTTTTGTAAAATGAATCTTAATTCTGTCTACAGACCCATGCACATACTCACACTTGATGAGCCATACACAGTCATTGACCAAAATATGCCTTTTTTGACCTATGCAAACACTTCACAGTCCCATTAACCCTTTTGTCTCTAGTCAGTTGCCCAGATGTCTTCAGGACTAGGTCCATAGGCTGCCCCATATCCCTTTTCAAGCACGGGGACAGCCTTAGAAATGCATCAGGACATCATATCCTAGCAAAAGACAGTTATGCGTATTGCATGGAGGGAACTAGCCTGCTACCACTCCTAATACCTTCTCAAGTCCCCATCACTGGTGGCATTTTGCATTGTATGAAAGCTGTGGCACATGAGCCGTAAGTACATACATAGAGATAACCACAATCTGGTGCACATATTGTTCACATGCTAGCCTGGGAACATATGCCACAGGTTTGTCATGCCTGGTATACATGAACACATCTCTTCTTCGCATGGAGTCACTACGCTAGCTAATTGGACACTCATCCTTGCAAACTCACTTTACACTTCATATCCAGTCATTTTCCCTTTAAAATCATTGCCCTTTATGACACAAGATGGTACTAAACGAGTTTGTTCTGACAGCATATGCTTCACCGATTACTATAACTCTCTCCTAATTGGTGTCCCCAAGCTTCCTCTCTACAGAACATATTGAACGCTGTTGCCAGGAATATTTTTTATTTTGCACACTCTCCTCACAGAGCTTTTAATTTTTGAAATTCTTACATTAACTTCCTGTTCCAATTAGGATTTAATTCAAGACACAGCTTAATGTGATTCTGGTGTCTTTATCCTGTCCCTGCAGGCTCGACTATGAAAACACTGCCTTTTCAGAGTGCTTCCTAGTCTAGTGATGCACATTGTGCAGCACCTACATTCAGCATGGAGATTCTGAACGCTCCCTGAGGAAGGAGCAAAGGCAGAGGGGCCATGGACATAAAATACCACTCCAGCACGTTAGTATTTTAAATACATGTTTGTAATCCTAACACTATAGTGTTCCTTTAACCCCTTAAGGACACAGCTTCAGAAGCTGGACATACCTTTAAGGACACAAGCAATTTTTGCTGTTTGTGTTCAACTGCAATTTGCATCTCTCTCATTTATTGTACCAACACATATTGTATACCTTTTATAGACAACAAAAAGGGCTTTAGTTTGATGTGACATACATTTATAAATTCTCATTTATTACAAAAACAAAATAATGGGGGTGGAATGCTCCCACCCCCATGTTTTGTCAATAACAACATGTGCATAATATGTCCAACTTAGGAAAAGTAATCCAAATAAATTCATTTATGTGTCTTGATTTACAAAGTACATAATGTGTAGGATTTCAGTTTATTTTGAAAGTTACATGTCACAAACTACAAGGTCTAAAAAAAAAATTTCAACATGAAACAATTTTAGAACTTGGTAATTTTGTCTTGGGAGTTTAATACCCATTACAGAAAACAAAATTGCCACAAAAAAATAATAATATATATTTATATAAAGTAGACATCACAGGCTACTTACCTAAGGTTATTTTGACACTTTTTGCGTAGCCATTTCACCGCCAATCTCTGCTAAATATTGGAGTAAAATTTTTTTTTTCCTTCTCTATTTTGGCATATACACATATTACATGGTTTTTGTAATGTGTATTTCGTAAAGCTAGTGTGTGCGATCCCTGTACAGAACCCCATATTCAGCTAAATCTGCGGAGTACAACAATACCCCCATTGTATACCTTTGCCCCTATTTTGTGAAGCTACAATGCCATATGGGAGACCATGCTATTTCAGTTGCTATAGTTGGAATTTTCATGGATGGTCATACGTCTGATTTTGTGGCATTATAGCCACGTGACTGTTCAAATAACCCCACAAAGGCCTTCCATTTGAGAAAGCAGACACTCCAGGGTATCTTATTAGGCATTATATTATATATAATTTATTTCAAATTTTGTGGTGAGAAAAAAAAAAAATTTTTTTAAATACATGTTGCATTTTCGCTGAGTATTTTGTACATTTGATAAGTGCCACTGTCATAAACTCCCCCTAAGTATTCTCAGTTACCTCTTCTGAGTAAAACAATAAGCCGAATGAATGACCTGGACACTAATTTGTGAAGTTACAGTACAGGTTTTTAAGTGTGAATTTACATGGAGTTACCTATGCAACTAAAATTTAACCCCTGAGGATTAAAAAAAAAAAGTTAACCCTCAGGGGTTAAAAGAAAAAAAAAATCATCACAGTGAAATCCTGTGGTCTGTATTTTGATCACTGCAGACAGTGATCAAAGGGCAGAGAAAGGGTTACATTTTACTTGAAAGAGATGAGAGGGGGTGGGATTTTATTGCTAACACTTTTTTTTCTTGCAGAGAGAAAGATCAGCACCAACCTGTCTCTCTGCACTTCACAGCTTACATGGAGCTGCAGGGAGACCAATCGGGTTTCACTGCAGCACGTGTGATCGCCTCCGACGCACTACAGGAACATTAACCCCGCGATTGTGGCAATCTGGGGTTAATTTTAGTTTAGGAGGGAAATTTTCCGTCCAACGTCCTTAAGGGGAGTGCTACAATCACGGAAAATTTCTGTCCAGCGTCCTTAAGGGGTTAACATTTATCTACAAAGTCCTTAGACAGTTCTGGGCACCAATACAACTTGCATTTCATAGGTTTTAGCCTCATTAATATGCTGTATTTTTTGCATGCTCAAATCTGCAAAACTTTCTTGCTCAAAAACTATTACGATTTGAGCATGCAAAATTTTAAAATATAGCACGTTAATGAGTTTAAGATTTATAATCTCCAGTCGAGAGGCAGGGCAGCAGCATTGAGCTTTGTGCACCGTAGGATATAATTCAAGTCCCTTTTTTTTTTTTTAAATATATATTTCCAACGCTCACTAAATAGCGAGAAGACTATATAGCATTAGTAATGTATTTTTATTCCTTACCTAATGTTCCATTAAATAATATGGCTTTAAATCCAGTGCCTGGCACTTTTATTGTGATTTGCAGATCAATTTGGGCAAGTTAAGGTCACAATCCTGACACTTATTACAAGTGACCAAGCACTGTGAAACAAGTCTGATATTAAAATGGCACTATGGAATGTGTTCCTGCCATGGACGGCAACTGTATAAGCCAGATTGCCTAAAATAGTTGTACCTTTTGGTGTGATGTGCAACATCATACATTTAGAAGAAAAACAAACAAAAAACAAAACCCTCCCTATCTGAGGGATTAATTGCAGCTTTATAATACCGTATAACTAAAAAAAGAATGGATTAACATTCCCCTCTTAACCCAATAGAAAGACTTTGGATAGCAAATACAAAAAGGAAAACTTTATTTACTTGCAAGTGTAGAAGAGGTACAGTTATAAATGTTACTGTATGAAACCGCTATAAAGCATTCTGAATAGCCATTAAATCTTACTACCGTGGAGAAGGTCATGGGAAATAATGGACCGTGTCAAAATGTTCCCGTTGCGCTGTCATCCAATGATGCAAAGGCGCACTATTGAGGGTCAAAGTGACAGATCTAGAGAAGTTTAAGAATACCAGAAAACAATTGTACCAGACATTGATTGCAAACAAATGGCCCAGTTAGATTTTACATCTCAGTTTGCTTGTCATCAACTTTAACAAGCGCCTGCAGTTTTTTCAGGTCAATTGAGGTAAACACCCCCCTCCCAGCCATTTCAGACCTTTAGAGCTGAGTGTAGGATGTTTACAAAAATGAACCCTGTATGTCGTCACAAATACACCCACCATGACAAGATTGCCCAGATTTTCAGGTCTTGGCATGCATTAGCAAAAATCAGTCTGGCAGCAGATTACAAATTCAAAGGTGGAGTGTGCACTATTTACATGTCTTTTTTTATAAAGATTTTCAGCAGACTAAAATTAATTTGTTCATTATAAAGCTGGCAAAATAGAAGAATGCATCGATTTTTATATGGACGTTGCCAGATGTAAAGATTTTGCACTAACTTAACTGGGTTGAAAGGGAGACAAAACACACACCCCCATACCACACACTTGCCAAAATTAGAACAGTGGAGGAATTTATTTTATATATTATTTTTATAGTGCCAACAAATTCTGTAGCGCATTACAATGGGAACACATACATATACACACAGTCCTAAAAGATTTCCATAATTTCCTGGTAAGTAACTACAGATCGATCAAATCACGATTTGATACAAACAAGGAATCTGTAGATATGATTTTCTAAAATTTTTTTATTTAAAAGGTCCCTCTATAATGAATCAAAATTATCCTTTGGAACTTTATATATTGGACAACAGATCTCACAACACTTGGCAAGACTAATGCAAGAGTGTAGAAGAGATTAGCAATCAACACATACAAAGAAGCTGTCATTATCTGAAAATTATATATAATTTTTAGAAAAACCCAAAGACTTGCACATAACTATAGGCATAATGAGACCAGTGCAGAGGGTACATTTTCTGCATATTTGAATGCTACGAGCGAAACTGAAAATCAGATCTGACTGTCGACATATTCTCCACGTAGTCTTGTTTTTCAATCCCTATTGGTCACTGAGGGCGTTCAATCATGGAAATGCAAAATGGCCACCTCCACAATAAAACCAGACCCTTCGTGATGGTTAAAAAAAAGCTGGATTACATGAAAATATTTACTTATTAGTAAAACGGTTTAAAAAATATGCTCAAGAAGAGATTTTCATGGGACTGTAATACTTAACGGTGGAATTTGGAGGAAAAATGAAAAATAAAAATGTAATTAATATTAGCATTAAACATAGCATTGCAAAAGGTTTGCAAGAGGTGTAATGATATGGACATGGGGTAAAATGTGCAGCTCCATGAGCAGAAAAAACATACAAATCTGATACAATTATATACTCATATTATCAGTGTACTTTAGATGCCCTTCTGCATGCACAACTAGATGCAGACAAAAAGTTTACATGTAATAAATATTTAATACAGTTACAATAATGTACAATGGCTAGAAAAATACAGAAGGAAAAAAAAAATCCAAAAAATAAAATAAAAATCCATGAAGACACAATAACTGAAGAGCTTGACTTTTTATAGCCGGTCGCAGCAAACATCAGACTGAAAGCTCAAATTCGTCTCAAAAGCTTCCAGTCGGGGATGTTTACAGCAACAAACTACGCATACACAACACAGAGTCACGTGACAGCTTCTAAACCAACAGTGGAAGGCACCTATAAAAACGAAAAAAAACAAAAATTGCGTAAATTTCAAAGCAACAAAAATGCAAGCTATATATTACAATATCAATATTACAAACTTTAAATTAAACCCCTTCCCCCTAAAAAACAAAAACTAAAACAAAATTAGTAGCTATACATAAAAATTGGAGGTATAAGTCCCCTTTCTAGAACTCCCTTATTTATCAGATTAAGTACATATTCAAAAACATATTCCTGAATGTCTTATTTAAACTACTAGATCTGGCAATCTGTGGACTACTTTTACAATACACAGATAGTCACAATATTAAAGCCACCTGCGTAATATCATGCAAGTCCCCCTCATGTTGCCAAAACAGCTCGGATGCGTCAATGTCCTGTGGTACCTGGCCCAAGGATATTAGCAGCATATCCTGCAAGTGGCGAGAGGAAGCTTCCATGGATCAGATTTGCTGTTCAAGCACATCCCACGGACGCTCAGATTGAGATCAACACCTTGAACTCTGTCATGTCCCTCAAACCATTCCTGAACATTTTTTGCAGGATGCATTATCCTGCTGAAAGAGGCCACTGTCATCAGGATGTGCACCATTATCATACATTTGCAACAGGGTTGATGTTCTAGGAGGG